TGTTTTATTATCCAAAAATTCCAGATAGAGAGAAATTAACAATTTCTTCCTTTTAATGTTCACACAAAATTTTCAAAGTTACGATTCACAAACTTCATTTTCTACAGAATATAAAGCCATCACAGCACTGTTCTAACATGACTAGTTCCCAAAGAAAAAGAAAATGCTATAATTAAGGAAACATTGACTTTTAAAATTGAAAATCAGAAGAAAAGAACATTTTGCTAAATACTCAGCTAGTTAATTTATGAAATAAAGAAGCATAATCGACTGTACTAGGTCACCTTTGAGTAATGGAAAGCTCTGTTTAAACAGTTCTTTGGCAATGGGCACAAAGCATTAGATCTCATTTCCAAGACTTACCAGCTGGGTTTTGTCATTAACATTTATTAACAATCTAAGATATGGCTTTCAACGTCTAATCCTCACTACACAAATGTTTTGTATAGTCCTCCAGAGGGCTTTGGTGTGACAAATTACTGGCACAGATTACAACCCTGTGGCTATTCACCCAAGGCAACACAAAATTAATATGGTACTAATCCAATTTAAACAAGAAATTGGATGAACTATTGCAATTGCACAAATCATCTGAACTAAAGCTGATGTGGAATTCCTGAAGCAACTAAATTTGCAAATTTATATTCAGGCACAGTACATGGGTTCCTGATCAGTTTTGCTTTTTTAATTTTTAACTGAATTTAAAGTGCCAGATTGACTAAGTACAGCATTAACAATAGTAGCATAAGCCTTACCACATTATTTCCCACAAAAAAGCCTCCATCTAATTTTAAGTGGACTACTTTCAGGGATAAAGTTTTAGGGGAGTATAATTTGGTCTTGCTGTCCACTCATTTAAATGGTTCAGATGTCTAACAAGGGTTTCTGTTGGTCCTGGATTGGAACTATTACTTTAAAGTTACCAAACTTATCAGCTAGTGATGGTTTTTGTCACTACCCATCTGGCATGACTTGAACCAGGGAACTAAAGGTGAAATGCATCTAACAGGAATCTAAAAAGCCTTTAAGGGAAAACAAACAAAAAGGCAGGACATTTTGGTGCTTCCTTTGGGAAAATCCAGTTTCTGGTGTGAAAAGATTAGAGAGGCGAATGATCACCCTTTTGTGCATAGGTATTTCAGAAATATTATGGGCCAAGTTCTGACACCTACAATAATTACATGAAAAGGAACAATCTGAGGATAGCACATAAAACTGAACCTTTGATTTTCTAGCGATCATCAAATATACATGGTGTTAATTTATTTGATTTTTCTGTAAGTTATAAATAAAGAGCATTGAGAATTTGGGTTCTCAAATTCATTGAGTTCATATTTCGGCACTGCTTATCCAAAGGTTTTGATGATGACCCTGCCTTAGGCTCCATATCCCTCCTTGATTAGCACACAAACGTCTCCTCTCCTCCCAAAAAGACCATGTGATTCTCCCTGAAGCTTCAATTATCCATTAGATTGTGTTTTTTCTTCATGGGGGAAAGGAGAGATAGAGAAGTAGCAGCATCCTGCTTATCCAGAAACAGGGTTTCCTTTTGAGCACATATCCAGATAGCTCGCTCCTCCTCCCCAGTCCCGTAGACTTTCCTTTCCCATCCACAGACGTAATTTTCTAAAAGCAACTGGTTGGCCTATTCTTCAGTAATGTCTCCGCTAGATCCTGCTAAGTTACCCCTTTATGCACCAGAAATGCACCAGAGAGATCTTTAGTCTTGCAGGAAAGAGTGAATTAGCCCTGCATTCTTGCTTTTCCTCATAACTGGGTTAGAGGTCCTTTCATTCCACTGCAAATCTTACAGAAATACTGTGAAGGCAGTTTTTATGTTGCAACCTGGAGCACACACTTTAAAACCTTGAAATGGAAAAGCAGGGGAACATAATCCAAAGAGTTATTGGGTCCTGCTGAATCAGATTTGGATTCAGGGAGCTGAGGTGCTCACTTACCCGAATGCTTGAGTGAATTAGAAGCGCCTCTCCTTGAAAAGTAGCCCTTCCATAAAGCAAAAAAAAAGATGGGAAACAGGGGTGAAGATGGAGTATGAAAACATGAATTCCCTTGTCTGTCCCCTCAATCTTTAAATGTGTTAGGCTTTGTTTCGATCTACGGATTGGTAAAATTCTTGCTTTTTCTAGTGTGTTTGACCGTACCGAACGGAAGTGCTTACAGAATCTTAAATTATTGCAAGCACAAATCATACCATATTTATAGAAGGCAGTAGGTAAAGGAAAAAATAATATACTGGCATGTATATGCATTACTGAGTGTAGTGGGGTAGTCACCCTGCTCTGGCTGTGAAGGGGTTAAAACAGCCCTGGGAGAGGGCTGCCCTGGGGAGCCAACTCAAAGCAGCCCTGGAGAGGGCTGTGGCTGGAAAAAGGAGTGAAAGCAGCTGAGGGAATAGCTGACCACAGGTGTGGCCAGCTCAGTCAGGACCCAGCTGGCCTTTATAAAAGGGCTGTAAGCCAGCAGTCTCTCTGTAGCTCTGGAGAGAGACGGGTACCTGAGGTAGAGTAGTGCTGGAGAAAGGCAAGAGGAGCTGGGGAGATCCAGCCTGATAACTCCCCAGGCTGAAGGCCTATCAAAAGTATGAGGGCTGTAGAAGGGCAGCCTGGAAATAGGCAGAGGCAGCTGGTCCTAACCCCTTGCCAATGATGAGTGGCTATTACACTGCAGTCTTCCGCAGTGAGCGGGATCTAGATGATGACTGGCCATAGCCACTGAGGCAAGGTGGGTTTAGAGGGTTGGGGGTTCCCGTGGGACGGGAGACCCAGAGTAAGTGGGTTACTGCTGGGGGCAGAACCCTGAGGAAAATGGGCACCGGGGTCCAGGAGCGTCACAGGTCCAGCAGCAGGCAAGACACCGGCCTACAGAGGGCGCTCCAAAGGCTGGAAAGAGCTAATTCCCGAGATGACCAGCAGGAGGCTCCACACTGGTGAGTCATCGCCTCGCTACACTGAGGATGAAGGAACTGCTGCTACATGCTGGCCTCAGAGAGATTTTAAATGCCTCACTGACATACACACAGAAAAATCCACAAAAACAAACCAACCAAAAATCCTTTATTGGCATCACAGATGGGAAAATTCAGAGACAGGAAAAAATTGTGTAACCTGTAACCTTCAGGGGGTTGGACTAGATGACCTTCTGGGGTCCCTTCCAACCCTGATATTCTATGATTTCCAGATCTCTCTAAGTTTGCTGTATTCCGCAATATTCTACAAATTCTATCATTTTTTAAAAGCTAAGACCCAGATTTTTAAAGGTATATAGGTGTTGCAGTACACTGCACTGAAATACCTAACTGATTTAGGAGCATTAATTTCATTTTGTAAAGGCGATTTAGTCATTTAGGAGCCAAAATACTGTTGACAGTGGGATTTTTGGCTCTGAAGTGCCTAAATCCCTTCTGCAAATGAAATTTAGGCTCCTAGATACCTTTAAAAATGTGGGCCTAAGTATACTTTATGACCATATTGCTATCATAGTATAAACTGACGTACTGATGCCTGTTAAGTCAGTTTTGCAAAAAACAAAATAAACAAAAACAAACTTGTCTCTTAACCAACAGCAGCAAAGATGGGCACTTACCCGTACCCTTTCCTCAAGAAATCACAGTCAGGATGTAGACTTTGTAAGATTAAAGTTTTTAAAAAAGTATTTAAACATACAAGCAGTTTTTACCCTCAGTCACTTTTCTCTTGGAAAACACAGAAAATTAAGACACTAAAACCAGAGACTAATGCAACAGGTTTAATTCAGTTAATACTGCCAAACATGAATCTACAGTGGATCCTCAGACACCCGGGTGCCTCATCCCCACCAGGAACAGATTAAAATGCAAATGCGTTTATTGCTCATGTTCCAGTGCTACAGGATATGCTGTACAAACTTTATACTGACAGTGCTATGCCATCATAACCTGAGACACCTGGAAAATAAGATATTCAACTGAAATAGAATTCTAGCTAAGATATGTTGTAGGTAGCCACTTCCTGTTTAGCAGGAAATCTCCATTCACGATTACAAAAGTCTACTTCCCAACGACATGGTACTTCTGGACACATGATTTATACCTCTACCCTTCCATTTGACATTATAAAGGAATTTGGGGCAAATTCCATAAGAGGTTGGGCAGCAGAGAAGTTTTCTGAGTAATTCTTTTGATTTTGCAGCTAGCGGCGATGGCACAGGTTCAGAATGAATGCTCTGTTTCTCCCTATTTCTCACTATTGAATGACTTTGCATAGGACATGCTAGATTTTCTTCAAGTAGTCCTGAATGCAACGTTAAGGTTGCACAATTAAAGTTAGGGTGTAAAAGAGAAGAAATGCCAGTTTAGATTCTAACAGCGACTTTAACTCACCTGCATTGTTCATGCACAGCATTTTTCATTCTTGTTTTTCTGGTTCAGTGTTGAATATGGTTAAATGTTAAATATTGAAGTTTCTGGCGTAAAATATAAAACAACAGGATGTGCACCATGGCCAAGATAAACCACTGTAACTTATTTTTTTGACTTTTTCTAGCAGATGCTTACTGAGCATCCCCAGAAGTGACCTTTTTTTAAATCACCCCAGTTCCAAGCCAAGCAAAGGCCCTGGTCTATAATGAGAATTATGTCCAAGTTTAAGTTTCAAGCTTTAGCCAGTTGTTCTGTATCCTTGTTATTTTAAAAATAAGTGTAGCCAGAATTTTTTTTAACTTTGGGAAATAGATATTTTTCCATTTTTCCAAACTAAAAAATAGATAGAGATTTTGCCAAAAGTCACTATCAGACAAAGCCCAGTTGCAAAAAATTCCAGCCCAAAGCTGACTGTTTAGGAAAGTTTTGACCATTTTAAATGTATACTGGCAGTTATAATAGAAATCAATAGCAACAATAGAAGGCATGACTAGCCCATAATATTAACAGACTTGATCATAGGAACAAAAAGAAAAAGACTATTACATCCTTACTGTGCATGTGCTCTATCCTATTTACATACCTGTTTTAGTCTTGCAAGTTCTTTCAAAGCCCTGGCCCACTGTTGCTTGTAGTGCAGCTTTGATTTGGTAGCTGATTCCAACTTTCTTTCAAGTTCAACCTGATGGTGATTAAAATCATATCAGCTGAAACACTATACTGGTGGTAACAATCACTGAAAGATTATATACACACAGTGTCCGTTTAAGAAAAGTGCTTATGCAGTATAACATACAACATCATCTAAAGCTGTTATGTAATTTAATGTAAATATTATGGCACATGAACATTTTCTTGTTTAAAATATAGCCTTATTTTTATTGTCTAGCAGTCTATACAAAAAGGAACTAGATTAGTCTTAGCCCCAAGACAGCTAATGTAAACTTTTTTAAAGAGCCTCTAAGCGGTGAAAAACGCATTTGTTGTTCTATAAGCAGCTCTAATTGTTAGCATTCCAGTTTAAGGGGCACTGTAAACTCTTAGGGCCAAGTCCTGCCTTTAGAGGTCTAGGCAGCTCTTACTAAAGCAAATATGTGTCTCAGAGGGCAGAATTTGGACCTTTGATTGGGAGAGAGGGAGAAAATCTTCAAAGATGGCCTAGGTTTCATGGTTGTCCTCTATACACAGGCAAATTTGCTCTAGAACGCTGCAAGATATTTTGTTGCTTAACTTACCATTGATAAAGATATAAAACCAACGAAACAAACATTTGAAGATTACATTAGAATGGTAAAACATGGTAAGAGGGAACTACAATTATAGGCAATACTTTCTCAGGCTATATTTAAAATATATGAAGGCAACTAGGCACCAGTGGTCATATATCAAAAATATTTATTTTTACATGCACTAAGCAATCTGTTTTACCTGCATTAAAGCCAGCTTGGCTAATTTTCAGGAATGCACTGTCTCAATGTCTCAAATTAAGAACCAAGTTAATTATTGTGGCCAATACAGAGTTTGGAGTTTTATTAAGTGATAATGGAAAATCTGTCCATGTTTCAATATAAATTCTTCAATTCTCATCTTATCTGACAAGCTGTGATACAAACAGAATGGCTGAGTTTATCATTTCTGAATTGTGGATGATTTCGTAAAACTGTATCATAATTATTGGGTCATGGAAAGCCTACGTATGTGATTCCACCATGGGTTAGCACAGTTGTGTAATCTCTCTGCTAGGCCAGAACCAATCGTGAGTAATGCGCACCCAATCATCTGTTCAACGTAAAACATCTTGGAACAATGGGTTAGCTCTAGCTGAGAGAGATATGTCCTCCTCTTCTCTGAAAAGGGAGATGTCGGTGGTGTTTGAGAGAAATGCAAAGTTGCCTGGAGAACTAAAAGCAGCAGATAAACACCATCAGCAACCCATAAAGGGACTCTGCTGGTGGAACTGGAGAGAAAGCCTTTTTGCACCAGATTAAGATGAGGAAGGCTGGTGCTGGGTCAGCATAGGCAAGGGGGGCGGGGGCGGGGGCAGGGGAGGAGGCCCTTGCCAGTCTGCTTGCCTGACAGAACACAGATGGATCCCCCAAAGACTCCCAAGAGAATAGTGTGCTGGTGAGGGACACGGTGTTTAAAATTTTTTTATTGTTTTGTATGAGCTGTGCTTTATCTGCTAAGTAAAAAGAGCATAAAGACGTAAGATGAGGCAATGGGTGTGTGTGTTGACAGCTTCACAACTTCTGCATGCCCTGACAGAGTTAAACTGTAAGCCAGAAGCTTCACATCTGTTGGGGTGGAGTCCTGGGAGGGGTTGTGTTTAAGTACTAGGAAGTCTGGGGCCAGTGCTGAATGCAAAGGGGCTTGGCGCTTGGACAGCAGCTTCCAACACTCAGAGGGAGGTGACAGACAGAAGGTCTGAACCTTGAGAATGTGCATAAGAACCTCAAGATTGCGGCAGTGCTGCACTGTGTTCAGGCTCCAGGAGCTTGAAACACCCCAGGGATCCATAGCAGTAGAGGTCTGGATTCCCCTCAGAGAAGTCCTAGTGGGTGGCCAGGAAGGAGTGCTCTCTACAATCTGTGATAAGACATGGTTCAAATATAAAATAGTTCAATCTTTTTCCTGACTATTCCTATTCTAGGCATGGAATACAACTCAAAACAAAGAAAATGAAAGGTAAATGTGAAATGCCACTGCTTTAGAATTATGAATCATCTACATTATCACAGAAGTTTATCATGATATACAGAAGTATTAAAGCTTTCAGAGTAGCAGCCGTGTTAGTCTGTATCCGCAAAAAGAACAGGAGTACTTGTGGCACCTTAGAGACTAACACATTTATTAGAGCACAAGCTTTTGTGGGCTACAGCCCACTTCATTGGATGCATAGAATGGAACATATAGTAAGATATATCTATATACACAAACAGAGAAGGTGGAAGTTTCCATGCAAACTGTAAGAGGCTAATTAATTAAGATGAGCTCTTATCAGCAGAAGAAAAACTTTTGCAGTGATAATCAAGATGGCCCTTAGACAGTTGACAAGAAGGTGTGTGGATACTTAACATAGGGAAATAGATTCAATATGTCTAATGACCCAGCCACTCCCAGTCTCTATTCAAACCCAAGTTAATGGTATCTAGTTTGCATATTAATTCAAGCTCAGCAGTTTCTTGTTGGAGTCTGTTTTTAAGCTTTTCTATTGCAAAATTGCCACCTTAAATCTTTTACTGAGTGGCCAGAGAGGTTGAAATGTTCTCCTACTGGTTTTTGAATGTTCTGATTCCTGATGTCAGATTTGTGTCCATTTATTCTTTTGCGTAGAGACTGTCCGGTTTGGGCAATGTACATGCCCCTCTGCCATGAGTTGATAACAGAATATCTGGGGCTGGATGGTTCAGTGGATTAGCAAGGATATGGTCACTGCTTCTTAGAAACCAGCTCAAGTCAGTAGTAAAATAAAGTAGTCACTACATGACCGCTGTTCAGTGACCCATTTAAAATAAGTTGATGGCTTGAGTTAAAATCTCTGTAAACAAGTGTCCAGATGGGAAATGAACACTCTCACTGGTAGTCAAGCAAGAATGCAAAGAACCAAACACACACAGACTAAACTACCCTCTCACTCCTAGTTCTGGTGCCATTCTATCTAGTGTTGAAACTCATTGAAGGAGTTGAATGGGGTAGTTTTCATTGCTAATACAAATGTGGTTTCTGTTCTGTAAACAAACAAAGGGACTTCTTTCTGGAGCACTCTTTAAAAAGTAATAGTGGAATGTCCATCTTAAACTTACCTTAAAAAAAGCTAGGAAATTCAAAACCCTCAATTCTTTTTCTCCCCAGGTTTTGCTCTTCAGAGTCCCCCAATTCTAACTACAGTGGTAGCCATTAAAACATAAGCATTTTCCAAGTGGTATATAAGTTTCTAGTTTCCCCTGTACTTAGAAGTGGATATAAATGTGTTAATTGTTGTCAAATGTTGACTAATAGTCAAAAACTGTCCAAAAAAGTTATATAAAACTATTCCACAAGATCATTTTCACCTACAAATAGGTTCTAAATATTTATTTAGTGACTGAAGAAATTGTTGGAAGAGAGAAAAAAATGGAGATTAACCCACTTCATCTTGGAAGCAGATTATTCTTTCATCTTCATCAATAATGAAAACATAGTTATGGAAGATCAGTAAAGTCTAAAGGTACCTTTTCTAAAGTGAGCAGATTTATTTCTGATTGTAACCGGATTTCTGGTTTGCTGCATTGCTGTTCCTTGTACTGCTGGAACTCCTTTTCCAAAATCTTATACTTGTTTTCTGCATCATAAAACTACATTAAAAACACCCAGATATAAAATCCATTAGAATACATTAATTTAACAATAAGACACATTCACAGGGGATGGAATGAGCGTCAGAACCTAAATTAGCCTCTGGACCTAACATTTTATTTCAGTCAAGTAACTGATATGAAACAGACACTGAAAGCTTCACATTCATAAATAATGAATTCTTGATTATGGGATATACAGAGAGCATAACAGAAATAATGTTTAAGGAAAGTTTTGGTTACACAGGAAAGAAAGTTCTATTTCCTTCTGATATAAAGACTAACATGTAATATAGCTGTTCACCAAATTTTTCAAGTGAAACTTTGTAATTCTATGGAATTACAACCAACAGTGCAGTTTTATCAAGTTTGTACTCATGGCGGCTTTTTTTTTTTTAAGTCGAATATATTCGTATTGTCTATATGAAGTTTTTACTATTGACTCAACCTCACCAGTATAGCTTGTCCAGGAATGTCTGGAAGAGGAAATAAATAATATTTTGGTTAGCCAAATAATGATTTAAAAGGCTGAAGCAGCAAGACTTCAGTGACAAATGACTGAAATGTTAGGCACCTTTGCCCTCACAATATACTTGCAGAGTTGCAGGAAGACAGGATTTTTGCTGTCTAGATAAAAATGGATAATTTCAAAGATGCTGTTTTAACCAACGTATGACCATATCACGCCACCCAAAAGAACTATGCAAGTCATATCTTTAAGTAACTAGCACTTTCAATATACCGGAGTGGCAATGTTAAAAAAAATGCCTGGCAAAAGAGTTTTAATTACCTACTGGGAATAGGAGTACATAAAGTAATGATATAAGTTAGTCAGTCAGTGAACTAAGAAAATTATTCAATTAGATTACTTCAAAAACACAGTTCACTTCATTAATGGAAATGAAGCATTTCTAACTGTCAGATTTTGATTCACTTTTAACATGTAAATATAACTCTCTCCATGGGTTCTCTTTTTAGCTTAGCAGTTTAGGACCAAATATTGGGGAACTTATTCATTTTGGTTAAAAGCATGAAATTGTTGCATTAATACATCTATTTATGTGGGTCCACTTGCTCAACACGTTTTGGTATCCAACATTTAAAATTTTGTTTATTGTTTTGTATAGAAATATTATAAGAAGACAGTAGTGCTTCAAAAAAAAAAAAAAAACACACACCTACGAGGAGACAGCTAGCTTCCAGTCATTTTCATTTACGTCATTTGATAACAATTCATCATACTTATACTGTAGAAGTTCTTTATAGCAAAGCCCACCTCATGCAATCGGAGTTCAACTATAGATTTTCCCTTCCAGAAATAGGTGTATCCTCCTTTCCCCTCCCTCACCTGTCCTTCATTAGCTCTTCTAGTTTCAGAAAAGCAGCTAATGAATTGAGTCGATGTTAAACCGACTCAATTCACGAGCAATAATGGCTGTATGTCGCTCTGGTCAGTTGCTGTTTGTGTTGTCTATCAGGGTACGTATGTTCCAAGTTCCAAAGTTGAAGAATTTCTTACATTTTCGACCACTGAGGTGGTTATCCTGCTGGATGTGGCTATCCTGCCAGGAAAAACAGAGGCAAGACTATTTTTAGGGTACTTTTTTAACCCCCTCCCCATGTGGGGTGAGCAGAGTGGATCCTAAAAAGGACTGCTCAGTCATGGGTGCAGCTGCTGAGATGTTCGACCTGCTTCAATCCTCGAGCAAGACGACTATCACACCCACCGCCTGTGTGTAGGTCTGTAACTAGGAACTTCTGGATTTCACTGTCCTGTTCCCGTTACCACTCGCCAATCGCCACCAGACTTTTGACTTGTGCAATGTTGTTTTTCCCAAAACCCGGAAAATGCCTGTGTGGAACTTCTTTTAAAGGGGGGAAACTGGCGCACAACAGTCACCACACTATCCTTGACACACAGAGGACTTGAAACCAGTGGCATGGGCACCATGATGATTGGAGATCCTCTATTTGCTGCAGCCGACATCCACATTCACAGCCGTTCACTGAATCAGAATCATAGAATACCAGCGTTGGAAGGGACCTCAGGAGGTCATCTAGTCCAATCCCCTGCTCAAAGCAGGACCAATCTCCAATTTTTGCCCCCGATCCCTAAATGGCCCCCTCAAGGATTGAACTCACAACCCTGGCTTTAGCAGGCCAAACTACTAAGCTATCTTTCCCCCCTTCGCCCCCGTTGTAACATTACAGAACAGTTTCACCTCCACTGCACAATTATCCTCTGTCTGTTCTACTATTAAGTCTCTGAGGTACCAAATGGCATCAATGGATGGTTTATGACACTCCGATTGAGACACACCAACAATGGATGCAGATAAGAATGTAAAGGAAGATTTTTATTCTCAGTTGGCAACCATTTTATCGGAGACTCCTACAGAAGACAAGATCATCCTTCTTGGGGATTTCAATACACGTGTGGGATGAGACTCAGATCTGTGGAAGGGAATAATCGGGAAAGAAGGAGTTGGCAAAAGCAATTCAAATGGAATTCTGCTCCTGACCAAGTGTGCTGAACATGAAATTATTACGAATACTCTCTTCGGTCAAAAAGAAAAGTTCAAAACATCTTGGAGACACCCACGGTCAAAGCACTGGCATCTCCTCGACTATGTTATAGTTTGTGCCCAAGACCATAGTGACGTACTTCCCACAAGAGAAATGACAAGTGCTGATGACTGTTGGACTGATCATTGCCTTATTCGATCCACAATGAAAATTAAGATCGCTCCCAAATGGAGGCTGCAAAAGAAGCAGGTCAGGCACAAGCTGAAGATTCAAGATTTGAAAGACCCTATTAAGTGTGACCACTTCCAAGCAGTCTTAGAAGAAAAGCTCCCATCAGAGTTTCCAGAAGAAATTGAGGAACACTGGAGCCAGTTGAAAGCAGTAATAATCAATGCCTGTGAGGAAACCACAGGCTACCAAACCAGAAATCATCAGAACTGGTTGATGAGAATGATGCTGAAATTGAGCAGCTCATTAATGAGAAGAGAATGGCATTTCGTGCTTATCAGAATGACAAATTGTAATATAAAGAGAGAAGCCCATGCCAACATGAGGGCAGAAGTCCAACTTAAAACCAGAGAACTCAAGAAGAAATGGTGGACTGAGAAAGCGCAAGAACTCCAACATCTCTCACATATCCACAATACATGCGGTTTCTTTTAGTGCCACCAAGACTGTTTATGGGCCTATTTGTCATGGTAGGAATCCTCTTTGCTCTAAGGATGGAACCACACTTCTGAAGGACAACAAAGCCATCAATTCTCACTGGAAAGAACATTTTGAAGATCACCTTAACCATAATTCTATGGTTTCAGATGAAATCCTTGAGCAAATCCCTCAACGACCATTGAGGGATGAGCTCCAAGACCCTCCTAATTTGTATGAGGTACACAATGCCAACAAAGCAGATGAACAACAACAAGTCAGCAGGTCTAGATGGGATCCCTGCTGAAATCTTTGAAGACGGTGGACCAGAGCTAATTCAGCAGCTTTACCTGCTTATCCTTAAAATCTGGAGATACCCAGTGAAATAAGGGATGCCCTGATTGTTACCCTCTTCAAGAAAGGGGATAAAGCGGATTGTGGAAATTATCGTGGTATCTCCCTCCTAGCCATTGCAGGCAAAGTTCTGGCACGGATCCTTGCAACTCGCCTTCTGCCCCGTCAGAAGAAATTTTACCGGAGTCACAGAGTGGTTTCTGACCATGTCGTGGAACTGTAGATATGATCTTCACAGCACGGCAGCTGCAAGAAAAGTGTTGGGAGCAAAACCAACCACTGTACATGGCTTTTATTGATTTAACTAAAGCCATTGATTCAGTGAATCGCCATGCCCTCTGGATTGGACTCTCTAAGATTGGATGTCCTGATGAAGCAATTTTAGGACACTGATGTATTTATAACATGAAAGTGACCGGAGCAGTACTGGCTCCCAGAGTGAAACTTTCAAAGTACAAAGAGGAGTAAAACAGGGCTGTATCATCATTCCAACCATGTTTGCGGTTTTGATCGCCGTCATTCTTTACCTAGTTGCTGGGAAGTTTACAGCTGGCATTGAAATAATTTACAGAATGGATGGAAAGCTGTTCAGGCTTAGCAGGCTGAAAGCCAAGAGTAAGATCTCCACATCATCTATTGGCAAACTTCAGTATGCTGAGGACAACACAATCTTTGCCCACTCTAAGATCTTCAAACTATCTTGAATGTGTTTTGCCGATGCTTACAGATGTCTTGATCTCACTTTTAATATCAAGACGACTAACGTGCTCTATCAGCCCTCTCCAGATGAGGTACCAGATGCCCCATCTATCAAAATCGATAGAGTGGCACTGGAGAATGTCGATCATTTCCTCAACCTTGGAAGTCATCTTTCATCCAAGGCAGATATTGATGCAGAAACTCAACATCGCCTGAGCTGTGCCAGTGTAGCTTTTTCTCGTTTACAGCACAGGGTTTTTGAAGATCACGACATTCAAACAGACACCAAGCTGCTTGCTTATCAAACCATTATTCTCCCAACTTGGGTCTGAAACTTGGACAACCTATAGACACCACTTGAAAGTCCTTGAGAGGCACCATCAATGCTGCCTTCGTAAGATTCTGAAGATAAAATGGGAAGACAGGTGCATCAATATTAGTGTCCTGGAAGAGGCAAAGACCCACTATCAAGGCAATGATCATCCGTCAGCAATTCCACTGGACTGGTCACGTTGTCCGAATGCCAGACCATTGCCTCCCAAAACAGGTCCTGTTCTCTCAGCTGAAAGAAGGGTACCATAATGTGGGTGGACAACAGAACAACCTAAACAAGTGTAATATTGACACTTGCCCAGGATTGCTTAAAATGGAGTTAAGTCCTACATGATGGTCCCCTGCATTTTGAACTTGCTTGCTGACAAGCTGAAAAGGACAAAAGGCATAGAAGGAAGGAGAGACTGGCTTCTAGTCATGGTCAACAGCCTCCTGCTGAGTCT